TTATATCTAGGCATTACCCCTCTCTTTCTTGTGTATCACCTAGGTGCGCTAGACTGAGATACAAGATACGACCTGATTATTGAAGGTTGACCCTTTTTTGGGAATCTTGTTAGGTCAACCATGACATCATTGGTACGGGACCTAAATTGACTAATGACTCATGATTATAGTTGTTGTATTGATATGTGAGAAAATTTATTATTCTTATTAATTTCGTTTTTGAGTTGTTTTTTGTTTAAAATTTACTTTAGATTTTGAATTCTATCTTATTTTTAGGAATGAGTGTCATTGTAAGTAATTTATTGTGACTTTTAAAATAATTTAAAAATTATAGTTTTTTTGCGATAACTTTTGCCCAAGAGTATTTCCGCTCGGAGTTAAAAAATCCACGAACAATTAATGTGCGTATTAAAGTTATATATGTAGGTATTTACTTAGTTTACATTGAGTTAAACATTAAAAATGTGTTCTACTTTCTCTAGCATTCAATACTAGCTTTCACCCGCAACTCCGTCCGCGTAAAATTAAAAATATAGCCTATGTTACTCACAGATAAATTACCTTTCTAACGGTGTAAGAATTTTTAAAATCAGTCCAGTAGTTTTTGAGTTATTTCAATACAAAGACACAAATATTTCCTATTTATATTAGTATATATAATTGCGTTGTATTCTTGTCTCTTTCTTATCAAAGAGAATGAAAAGAGATGGCGATACAAGTGACAGCATGGTAGAGTTTCACGGTTATAATCTGACTTAATTAGACGCTTTCACGATTATTCGCTTACTTTCTAAGTGTTGCGAATTTAATATTATAACGCTAGTTAAAAAATAAACATAGTTTATGGCAACACGCCTTATCCTACTACCGTAGTGTCGGCACCGGGTTGACGATGACAAGAGACGAATGGGGAAATAAACCAGAAAGTGTTAAGAATGAATGTGGATGGCTACAAAGACCGAAGATTATGGATTGATTGTGTGAAAGAGGATATGCTTCAGGGAGTGTATTCAGTTATGGCTGATAGAGATGTATGGAGCAGCACATACTGTGCCGACCCTCCGTAAGGGATAAGGGCAAGTTGATGATCCGTCATATCTGTCACTCCTTCATCGCCTTTAACAATACGAGTACATCTCTTTCTAGCTGCCTCTACCGGTGTACTCATAACATGCACATGCTAACCATAGCTTTTGTTCCAGACTACGTTCTACATCTATGTTAAATATCAGTTGGTTTGAGCACTGGAGACGTGCATAACAAATATGCATCTAAACTTTCGCATTTATAATTAGTAAGATTAGTGTTCCTATGTCTGCACACTACATGATTATCGTCAACTCACCAAATTTTTAGAGCCCGGACACACCTTTGACTATCGCAATGTTAAGGGCCTTTTTTTATAACATAAGGTGACAAAGCAAGCGGCCACCTGTATCCGCCAAAATGGTGAAGCGACCGCTGCCTAGACGTTCGCAATTGCAGATGCGTTGCCTACCCTTATCCGACGGAGGAGACGCACATAAAGAGGATATTTCCACTTCCCCTTCCCATCCTCTCCTTATAAGAAAAGTGGTAAAGAGAAAGGGACTTAAATTAGGCCTCCGGCACCACACTCATCAGACGAAACACGGAATTGCTTCCATTTCACGCCTGTCTTTGTGGTCGTGGTACACCGGGCGTGCCGGCCCTGCAGTGCTAAGATGTTAAAGCGGGCTCTACCACTGTTATATAAGAAAAGGGTGATACAGAGTCCTGTCCATTGACTGATAGAGGCTCTAATTAAAGATGACGTCACTGTCAGATAAGGTTACAAAATCTGATATTTCCATCACATTTTACACCAATAGTTATTAGATAATTTGATGGGACAGTTCTTGAGTCTCGCTTTGATTCCTAGAAGCGCACACTACTATTTTTTAGGTTGTGTTGAATTTGCGAAGCAATCGATAGTTTCAGCACAATTTAACAGTGGTAGAGCCCGCTTTAACATCTTCGCACGAATGGGTCGGCTCGCCCGGTGTACCACGACCACACAGACAGGCGTGGAGTGGAAGCAATTCCACATTTCGTCTGATGAGTGGTGCCGGAGGCCTAATTTAAGTCCATTTCTCATTACCACCCTTTTCTTATAAGGAGAGGATGGGAAGGAAAAGTGGATTTTACGGTGGAGGAGACGCATCATCATCACCAGCTCACTATACGTCCCCACCGACTAGGCCATAGTCAAACACGCTGGCCCAGTGAGGGTTGGTTGACTTCACACATATCTTTGTATTTCTTCGCCGATATGTGCAGGCATTACGATGTTTTCCTTCACCGTAAGAACGTTGGGTAAATTATATACATATGAAAATTCGAAAAATCAAAAATCACAGGTACAGCGGGATTCGAACCCAAGACCTGTAGATTACAAGTCAAGTGTTCAAACCACTGAGCCACCGACGCTCTTAAGAAGACGAGGAGGAGACGCATTAGAAGAGGAAATATCTTCTTTATGTGCGTCTCTTTCCACCTTCGATTAAGGGTAGGCAACGCGTCTGCAATTGCGAACGTGCACCCGCTTAGTATAGTAAAAAATAGGGAAACATATAACTCCTGGCGTAACGCCACGGGCAAACGGCCCCTATGTCATCTGTTTGACATTAAAAACAAAAACAAACGGCCTCAGAGAAAGTTCAATGCAATTATATTTTTGGCACACTGTCGCCATGTTGGAATTTTTTTGTGGACAGTCCTTGATCTAAATAATTTGTTAATTTTTAATTGTATAGATATTATACCACATATATTTAGTAATGTCATATTTTAGAGTAATAATTTATATCTATACTAATATTATAAAGAGAAACGATTTTTATTTCTTAAAATTATTAGGCCAATTTCAAAAGTTCTATCACTATTCAAAAACTGCGTTATCGCTGAGTGACAGGCAATTTTTTTTAGTACTTTTAATTACACGTGGACACAGTCGCAAGCAACGGCTAGTATTTCAGATTTTTGATATAAACATCTAGGTCTTAACGTAGCCGATATATTTCTGTAGCTAATATAATTTAGCGCTTTTGACAGTAATATCAGTATAGTTTCAAATTATTAATATTAAAATGTCCGCATTTATATGGTGACCCTATTACTTGACTGCACGCGTCTCGAACAATTGCGTCTCGCGATATGTTCTAAATGACGGATATCTTGACCTTTTCCCGCCATTCCTTTGTCTCAAGATACGCGCGGGAAAATGGCTATTTCTGCGCCATCTTGAATTTTCCGTTTCGCGCCATTTTTAGTAGAATCGTTTTAATGTTGCACATTGCGATTATTTTTTCTTTTCTTTTCAAGAATGACCATTGTATTTAATGCGGTAACAAGTTTTTTTGAATATCAAATTATAATATAATAGTTTGAAATGTGAAATTCTGAAAAAATACATATAAAACGTGGATTATAAAATTATCAGAAAAAAGAATTCGTAATATTTGTACCGGCATAATTTTGTTTATTCGAACAATCTGTCTCTTTCACCTCTATCTCTTTCTCTTTCATGTAACGTGACGGAAACGAAATTTCACTTTCGTTACTCAAAAATAGAAACCACTTTCTTTGTTTCGACATAATAGTATCACGAAATGTGTCCATAAATTTGTTGCATCGGTCAATCGCCTCGTTTACCGATTTACAAGGTTGCGACGAATTAAAACCCCCCACTCATTACCTCTATCCCCCCTTATCCCAACACCAGTATGAATCCAGACGTCACAGAGTTAGGACGTGTCGCGAGACGCGGGAGCATTCCCGCGTAAACAAAGACATTGTTCAAAAGTGCTAAATAGTGCATTTTAAAAACGGAATTTGATTTGTGTATTTAATTTTGGAACAATTTAAAATAATATTGATAGGAAAGAGAAAGTGAAACAAAAATTGCGCATTGTTTTTTAAAAATAAAGCTAAAGGTTTGAATTTAAACCATAAATATCGTAAATAAAAAATAAATTTATGATAGATAAATATCTATGGGCCTGTCTTCTTATATTTTTCTTGGAACTTGAAAATAACAATCTTCATGACGTAATTTTCTCAGAATTCACGATTCTCAATTGCCAGGGTCATTGCAATGTTTGTTTCGATAGTTTTAGACTACTATTACGGTATTGATTCTAATTCTTAACCCCTTTGTACACAAAAGTAGTTAAATATTAAAAAATATATCTTAGTATCGCGTAACACTTCGGACACAATGTGCAATCGACGACATGAGTCGACTACTGCCGTTGCGTATAAAATTAATTGCAAGGTATTGCACCGCGATTTTATAAATCGCATCGAATTATTTTATGGCATCTTTAAACAAGTTCCTAACTGGATTAAGCGTTGATTCCTTCGTATAGAAGCAATTTATATCTGTGATTTAAGTTTTTTAAATGGTTTATGCAATACATTATCATTTTGGGAACCTCTATGAGATTTTATCGGCGTAGCCTTGTATATGAATAGGCTTGTGTAAGTCTTAGCGACTCAAGTTGGTATTCGAAAATTTTTATCGTATTGTGTACAAAGGGCTTTATTGGCGATTGAAAGAATTGTAGATTTTATAAACTATGTAAGGGGCTCCCTTAGAGACTTCATAACGATTCTGAGTGCTTCAATTACTTGTAAAAGATTTGTTACATGTATGTATGTTAAAATTAACATATTCCAAAGTTCGAATTTAAAATAGCTTGTTTTTAATGTAAATTTATTTCTTTGCTTTTACTATCGAATTTTGTTGTTTAAATTACGTGTGTAAAATGTTTTAAAACAAAGGTATTTTATTGTTATTTCTCGTTTGATTAGATGTTTACAGAAAACTAACCTCGTTGTGTAAAATTAGATACAGCGCCATCTATTGTCCGGTAGTGTCAAACGAGTAAATGAATAATGTGGTAAAATTGAAACCTTTAGCCAGATTATAAATTTAAAACAACTTTACTGCTGTTATATTCATGTGTATCACGTTTTAGGCGATTCCGAGATTGCTGGATTTTTTTTTTGGCATAAAACCAAAAGTGACTCAACGACAATGTTTTCAAAGAAGTGCATAATGTTAGAAAATGGCGTAAGCAAGTGACAAATAAACAAAATGTCACCTGATAAACGCAAAATCAGTGAAACGAATTTTAGGACTTACTAGCATTTACTCATTTTGATCTCAAACAGTGCTCAACAATGATCGCTTTAAAGAAATTGTACGGTGACGAACTGTTACGTCTAGCTTTAGTCCTAAGTCTCCTCAGATCCAACCCTGAAGAGTACCTTCTAGATGAGAGCCAGCAGATCCTAGCTGGATTGAACATATCCAACGGTACCGATTGGTCTTTAGAACAAGAAGCTAGAACATTAATTAGACCAAGATTTATCCATCCTAAGTCTTTGGATAATGTCTTAATGAATTATGAAAGAAGATTATTCGAAGAGTTAAATTCGCTTGGACGTTACACGGGTAGTAATGCTCGTGTCCTTCATGCATATTTATTAAATAATGTATCAACGAATACAGTTCAACCTGTGCTGTCAACGGGTACGGACCACACTGAAGAGGATGTGTCAGCCGATGATAATGTAGCACATGAAATAAAAGTTGAAAATGAAGATAGCAACGAATCAGAACTCAATGAAGCTGAACCAAACGAACCAAATCAAATACAACCAGATGTGGTTGTCACTCTTTCAGCAGATTTCAGTAATAGATCTGACTTTGGGGAGATAGCGTCAAGGTCGTTCGATGTTAATGAATTTCTTATACAACCGGAAATGATTAAGAAAGAACCAGATTTGGAACCTTTATTAGACGTTAATGTTAAAAGAGAGAATGATTCAGATCTTTACAGTGATAATGCAATTGATTTCGTACCATATTTCACACATCGATCTGAGAAATTCGAAATAGATGATCCTAATTCTGTTTATTATCAAAATCTAGCTGATTTACAAGATTATAATGATATATTTGATGATGTAACTGAAAGGAATGAACTGGATTTAGATATCAAACAGCAAGAGAATTTGGAACAATATCTCCTAGAGAATACACCTTTAGATGCGGAAGTTTATGAATTGGCGCCGATGTTTGAAGAGGAATTGGTGTTGGACGTGAAGAGGGAAAGAGCAAGCACTAGTTTCACTTCAGCTAGTTCTAGTGGTGTGAGCGAGATGGATGTGATCGATGTGAAGTTGGAACCAGACGAAGGTCATCACAGCGGAGACGAATTAACTCAAGAGGTAGGAATTTTGATATTTCTTTTTGCGAGTTTTAATTGTGATTTAGTTTTTATTGTAATTCTCCTGAGTGTCATGTTAGGGTTTTTGTTTTTAATTTGCTATTGCTTTTATTATCTGTACTAATATTATAGAAAAGGATTTTTTTTGTATTAAAATAACTCAAAAACTCCACATTGGAGTTACGCGAGATAGAAAACAGTGGAAGAGTTTAGGAGGCCTATCCCAAGAGGCACGCTGGAATTAGGAACATACGATAAGTTACTATATTATTATTATTAACTGAAAAACTACTGGGTCGATTTTAAAATTGTTTCACCATTAAAAAGTTACATTTTCACTGAATAGCATAGACCATGTTTTTTATTACTTTTATGTGGAAGTCGCCAGCAACATCTAGTTAAAAATAATTTAAGTTACTAGTTTCTTACTGACTTTGCATGCATGCATTTGTTTTTGTATAGGATCTTAGGATATATTTGTAATAATATTGTATATACCCTTAGTTATTTAGTAATAATGTAGTTTTCTAAGGGTGAAATTTTTCAAATCGGTCCAGTAGTTTTTGTGTTTAGTTACTAGCTTTTGCTCGCGTATTAGCCCGCGTGTAATTAAAAAAATAGTCTATGTTACTCACAGATAAATTATGTTTCTAACGGTAAAAGAATTTTTATAATCAGCCCGGTACTTTTTGAGTTATTTCATTTTATACAAAAATACAAATCTTTCCTCTTTATAATATTAGTACAGATTAACATTGTGTTAACAATTCTGGTTATTAACTAATTTTTATAGTGAAAAGTATATAAAAGCGTAAATAAAGTATTTGACCCAGTAAATAGTTTTAAAATCTATTTGTATTTACGTAAAATACTTCTGTAATCAATAATTAAACGTTGATTTATTCAAACGACGCCATATTGTTCTTAACATGTCAAATGTCAAAACTTTACAATTGTAATTTGCCGGGAAATGGAGTGTTTTTTATAGTGGAATTTTTAATACGCACTGACGTCTATCGGTATAGGCTTTAAGCGTTTGTATTATTTAACCCTTATACAAACATTGGGAAATTATTTCCCACTTGACAGTACCGTAATATTTCTTTATTATTTCTTTACTGGTAACTCTAATCAGTACCAATCCAGGAACAAAATAATTTTACACACTTTTTAAATATTTTACTTGGCAACATTTTGGACAAAATTGCGTAATGTCATCGTATGTTAATGTCAAAGTCACAATTTGAATTTTTTGGTGCACAAAACCGGTTCTCGCAGGACTTTCGAAAATTTTTGTAGAAAAAAAATCTGGTAAATACATAAACAATATATTGATGTAAACTAGACTTATTTTCTGAATGCTTTTTACGGTTTCTGTGCTTTTTGCACTGATATTTCTTGGATTTTATTAGGTTTAATTAGGTGGGAAATAATTTCCCAATGTTCGTTCCTGCTTTGATAAACATCAGTGTCTTTATATATATATATAAAATTGTTTGTCAGCTGTAATAATAACGGTATAGGAACTTGTAATACGATAGCGAGTAAGTCAAATTAGTGGCTTTTTTAATTTTATTTTTATAATTTTATTCAATCACTCAATCATGTTATATTGAATTTTTTATATAAAAAAAATAAACAAGTAAAGTAGGAGTAAGTAATATGTATAGAATTTGTAGTAAAAATGTCCCAAAAAAATGTAACCATTCCGGATGATGGGAAATAATTTCCCACCGTAAAACCCCCCTCTTTTTATAAAAAAAATGATGTTTTTTTCGAAATCTACAAAGCCCTTTTACCTACCTATTTAAAAAAAAAAATCCATTTGATTAAGGGTTAAAGGTGGTAGAGCTCGCTTTAACATCTTCGCACTGTAGGGCTCACCCGGTGTAATACCAAGGGCGGATCCAGCTTTGGCGCCAGGGGGTTCACATAGTTGGTTGACTAACCAGCTCAGGGGAGGTCATGACCCCTGGATCTGCCCTTGTGTACCACGACCACACAGAAGATAGGCGTCAAGTGGGAGCAATTCCGCGAACAGTCTGATGGGTGTGGTGCCGGCCCAACTTTAGTCCCTTTTCCTTCCCTTTTCTAATAAAAAAAGGATGGGAAAGGAATGTGGATTTGATGCTTGAGGAGACAGATAGTAGGGGAAATATCCTCTTTATGTGCGTTTCCTCCGTCAATCAAAGGTAGGCAACGCATCCGCTATTGTGGATGTCTATGGGCAGCTTCGCCATTTTGAAGGATTCTGGCCGCTTGCTCGTTTGCCACCTTATAATATATTAAAAAAAAATCTGTGACCAAAGATAAGAAATATATAGAAGAGACAGAACATTTTTTTGCATTTTGTAAAGTTTAGTGCCGTCTCTAATTTTACTAAATTATGAAAAGCGCCATCTTTTAAGCTGTATTTGTACTAGTTTTTCGTACCCCTATCTGTGTGGGAATTTTTATCTTTGAACGAAATTTTAGTTTCCCATTGTGGTTATGTTATATCCGATATTGATAATTATTTTAGAATAGAGGTTTTTCTATATTTATATAATAAAGCGTAAACATACTTCCTGCCGCCGAGTTTCGTCATCGGAAGACACGACAGACCGCCAGGTTTTATCTTCACCATCTCGATGGCTGGCATTCCACAACCGTGCGGTTTTCGCGGAACTTTCTGCTCCGCACAGCCGCGTTGTGGAACGGTCTGTCCTCGGCGGTATTTCCAAACCAATACGACTTAGGGTCCTTCAAGAAGCGAACCTATCATTTCCTCAAAGGCGGGCAACGCATCTGTAGCGCCTCTGGTGTTGCATGTCTATGGGCGTCGTTGACCACCTCTGTGTTCTCGCCGCTCGATTACCCTCTTTTATTATAAAAAAAATACTTCTTTATTATGTAGGTTGTCAATTACAGCATATTTTTTGAATATTTATTATTTATACATATAATAAAATTGGAGTGTCTGTAATATCAAAAGAAAAATTCCAGATTTCTGGAAGATGATGTATTTGAGTCGCTGATAACGAGAATCGCATTTTTTTTGTCTGCCTGTCTGTCCGCAAGCCTCGTTTGTTCCGGTTCCGACATAGACGGGCATATTATAGGCTACTTTTTCATCTTAATATTGTGTGGATGAAGTCGCGGGCAAGAGCAAGTATTATCTGTACTATTATAAAGAGGAAAGATTTGTAATTTTTGTATGTATTGAAATAACTCAAAAACTACTAGGCTGATTTTAAAAATTCTTTTACCATTGGATAGGTAAATTATCTATAACATAGGCTATGTTTTTATTTTTTTAATTTCACGCTGGCGAAGTCGCGAGCAACAGCTAGGTTTCAATAAAAAGCCCTACGTATTTTATAGTATGTAGTATTTAAGCCATGTTATGTGTAATTAGACTCTATCGACCGAAGTCTAGAATAAAGTGCAACGCACTAAGGCTCTAGGGTTTTGTCCCCGTCTGGCGAAAGAGGGCGTTAACCTCAAAACTTTGAAAGTCCGTTTACTTTAAAACCGTTTTCGCCGATTATTAAATATGTTGCTCGCGACTTGTCCGCGTGAAATTAAAAAAATACAAAATAGCCTATGTTACTCACATATAAATTACCTTTCTATTGGTGAAGGAATTTTTAAAATCGGCCCAATAGTTTTTGCGTCAATCAAATACAGACAAAAATACAAATCTTTCCTCTTTATAATAATAGTATAGATTACTAGCTGTTCCCGTGCGAATTCATCCGCATAAAATTATGAAAATCTTATTTTATTGTTTACATGTGTCAAATTATCAATTGCAAATGTCAAAATGACAGAAATCGACTCGAATCGAAAGACGAAACTCGTAAGGAAATTGAGAAAAGTTGTATAAGGTTTGCAGCGCCCCTACCGGGCGTAAACTGCACTATTGTATACAAGTTTTGATGACGTAACAAATAAAAAAAACGTAATAGAAACAATATCTTTGACTATTAATAGTAATCTTAGCATAATAGTCGATATAATAATGAATTACATTTTTCAAAAATCATTGTCATTTATCTAAAATAATCAATTTTACGTCGTAAATATTGTGCAACAATAATGGTGAGAACGAATTTATTGTATAAAGTAATGCGTCGATTTCAATAGAAATAAAACGTATAAATAACGTTATCTTATAAGTAAACAAACTTATTATTTTCATTGTGGAATTCAATTGCAAATGTCAAAATTCAAATGACCTTGGCGACGTTTTCTTGATGTTGGCTTGTAGTTTATGATCCCTTTCCCACCTTTTTTCAATCTGTTTAGCGTGAAAATATATAACCTATAGCGTTTCGTAAGTGTAGGGCTTTTTATTAAAAAAAGAATTATTCAAAAATATGCTATGATTGCCTTTCTACGCCACGATGTAGTGCATGTTTACGCTTTATTATGTCAGTATATTACTACTGTTGCTCGCGACTTCTGCGTGAAATTAAAATACAATAAAACGTAGCCTATGTTCTCATATAAATTACCTTCCTATCAGTGAAAGAATTTTTGCAATCGGTCCAGTAACAGTGGTAGTGCCCGCTTTAACATCTTAGCACTGCAGGGCCGGCACGCTCGGTGTAATACCACGACCACACAGAAGACAGGCGTGAAGTGGAAGCAATTCCGTGTTTCGTCTGATGAGTGTGGTGCCGGAGGCTTAATTTAAGTCCCTTTCTCTTTACCACCCTTTTCTTATAAGGAGAGGTTGGTAAGGGAAAGTGGATTTGACGGTGGAGGAGATGCATAGAAAGGGAAAATATCCTCTTTATGTGCGTCTCCTCCTCCGTATAAGGGTAGGCAACGCATCTGCAATTGCGGATGTCTATAGCAGTGGTCGCTTCGCCATTTTGGCGGCGCGCCGCTTGCTTGTTTGCCACCTTATGCTATATAAAAAAAAAAGTGGTTTTTACGTAAATCAAAGACATATAAAAATCCAAATCTTTCCTCTTTATAATATTAGTATAGATGTATGAATAATATCTAATTTCTTTTAAATTCTATAAAAACACATTTAATTACGACCATGACTCTTGTTAATGAAATTATTAACCTAAAGATGGCGCTTTCTAATTAGGTTATAAATTATTTACGTCGCAGTCTTATTTCAGTAGATATTAGAACTGTTTTTAAACATCCTCTGCGTACGACGTTGACCTTGCGTTGCCTTGACCGTGCCTGACCTTGCTTGTGCACAAATATTTAGACCGATCTATTCTAGAACGTTGAGGTAAATAGCGCCATCTGTTGTTCGTTTTCTTACAACTGTCGAGTTGGAAAAACAAGTACTTTAAAAATCTGTGTGTAGCTTACATTTAACTTTTTAATGATTTAGCATTTGTGCAATATTGCACGCAATAATTAACAATGTATTTTCATTACAGTTTTTTGATATTATTTTTTATTTGGTCGTCTATTCTCATAATAATAATAGTGTTGGTTAATCAGGTTTAATATTTTAATAAATAAAACAATTTCTAAATCAATGTTTTAAAAAACAACTCATTCCTTAACTTGATTTCTTTTAACGCCATCTGTTGGTGAGTAGGTTCAATATCGAAACTCAAATCTCTGTGTTGAAACAGCCCACCTTTCTGACTATTTCTACTAGATGGCGCTGTTTCATAGTATACGAAATGAGACAAGAGATGGCGTTGGTGTAATAATTGTAGGAAATGTTTTGATTACTGTAATGACTTCATTATCTTATCGTTTGTAACTTGTTATTTAAATTGTTACTCATAAGATATAATTATTATAACAACGGAAGATTTTGTATGACGCATTACATAAGTTGATTTTTTTTTGTCGGAGCAGGAATTAAAAAACAATTTACTTGATTTCCGTTAAGTTAACTGTAATGGGTAGGTAATAAAAGTCCTCGACTGTACATTTAAGGTATGGTTAACAATAATTAAAACAAAATTTAATCCAATCAAATGATATATACATTCTTAATTCCGACCGACTGCCCTGCTGTGAATCAAAGAGTATATTACAAAACTAACGAAATTCAACTCTAACATTGAGTGCTAAAGTATAAAATCCCTTGACACTAATAATAGATATGGCATTTTGTATAAAATTTATGCTTGGATGTCATGTAAATTTTTAATTCAATTTTATCATTGTATTTCTATTTTGTGTTTTAATGCTTTGTTATAAGGTTGATTTTTGTTCGATGTTGGATTAACTTTTTGACCGACAGATTAGATATTAATTTTTAAATATGGCGGCGATTTTACATATGGCCAGTTGGATGGCGGTATTTGAGTTGGCACGTGGTTAAGAAGAGTATTTTTACATTTGATGTGCCAACTCGAAAAGTACTAAAGATTTTTTCTATTAATTATTAAGGGTGAGTTGCACCATATCGCCGGTTACCGTTAAAGTTAAAATTATTTGTAACGGTAATATTTGGAATAACCTTAAAATTTA